CTCGAGTGGGACTCTAACCCACGACTTCCTGCTTACTAGTGCAGATGTCTCAATGAATGATCTTAATAATATAAAATCCCAGACAATATACCATATTTAAAATTTAAAACCATCACGAACTACATGTACAAAATTCAAATGAGTTGAAGTTCGTTTGTAGTGTGTGACCTCCAGTGGGTGTTTTGGTATCTGCTGCAGAGACGGCACTGCAGTAGTAAAAATTGGCACAATGTGTACAAATTTGTTACCAGAGGTAATCTAAAAAAATCAAAGGAAGTATAACTATATGGAAAATCTTAAAATGGGTATTTACAAAATCACAAAATTGTATTCCTAATTTCATCACTTGGAACCTCCCTACACAGGCCTAAAAATTTCCATAGCCTCTCAAAATCTGATGTAAAAATATACAAAAGAACAGATCCTAAATTAAGTTTTCGTTGGGGGAAGTTGTTAAGGGGGGGCTTTTCTGAGGGATTTCAAACTACTTTTGGGGGGCTCTTTACAAGTGGAGTGTCTGAAGGGAGGGAAATAAAACTGACCCAAATTTTCACCTTTTCGTTATAGAAAAAATTGCTCGTTTTGGGGGATGACCCGCGAGCACCCGCCACACACACACACTCACACTTACCTGCTTTAAAAAATGTGGACATTCCTTTGTTCTCCTGTAGTTAAGGAAACTTGAGGAAAATGCTCCTTTTTTTCTCAAACTAGGATAACTCCTTCGAGCTGGATTTTGATGATGATTTCCTGGACTGTTCCTCGTCAGTTTGCCACTGATAACCTTGACCCCAAAATGCCTCTGAAACTGTTTTTCAGAGGGGAAAACACTATGTGGACATGTGTGAGTCCACACAACGTCATCATACCCTACATTATGTGGATTTCTTTTGTGCAGACGTCCCCACTATGTATTCCACGCCTGCACACTCACACTTGTCCATCTGTACCTTTCGCCAGACGCTACCACGGAGACTATTATCAGTGAGACTCGGGGACTGTTTTATTTACGATGAAAGTAACCTTTATTGAAAACTTACCAGAGTTTGTGTTTTCGCGTATTACTCTGCAAGACTTATGTGCGTGACTTGAGTACAGCCTTTCGAACACATTTGTTGGATTAGTAGCATCATAAGCACACGTACCCCACTCTACCCTTCCTCGTTGCGGTATAAATGCATTTCAAAATATCTCAAAACGCCCGTATTATAGCTTGAAGTATATAAACAGACAACGGATCGCGGCAAGTGAGGTTTAAGGCGGACGACTATTTAGCCGAATTTACAAAAAGTTCAGACCTACAGAAAAGGGGCTTTAATTAAGGAATTTGTAAAGGGTACATAGCGAGCGTGCAGACGGTTGACGCACGTTTTACAAATTACCTGTATAGGTTTATGGGCAAGGTATACGAGACATTTACTTAGTGCAGGCCCTAAAGGTAAGGCTATCTTAGGAGCAGGTTTCCCGAGTTTGTGTATCCCGTGTTGATGTGAACTCTCCACTGATGGAAATAAACGATGAGATGTATATTCTTAAGGTACAAGTTAAAACTAACGCCAGACGTCAGTCGAATAAAAGAATCTTTGCACCGTCTAATCGAGAAGAAGTTGAAACACAAACAAATGACAGAGTACTGATGGTGGTCAAGAAATGAAATAGACCGTATTCACAGGAAAGCCATTTTTATATCTTGTTCCCTGAATGTCATTCAATGTGATTTGCTCTATGAGGTGGTGCCAGACTATTTGGAATTCCAACCCTCACTTTCATTTTTGAATGTTGTTTTAAGTATTTAGCAGTGATGTAGTCGAGTACTTTCCGAGTAACAACGTTCTCCGCAAAATACTGAACTGGGTAAGAGGGAATAAAGCCAGAGTGCACAGGCATTTGATGGTAAATGTGCAAAGGTAAGATTACAAAATAAATGTTAAAATTCAGACACTCCCAGTTGTGCAAAATTTAAGTTTTAAGGAGAAAAGTACTCGGAAAGTACTCGGCCGAGTACGCTCCGAGTACTTTTCTCTTAAAAAGTTAATTTTAATCAAACAGAGATGGTCTGAAGTCATCATGCTGCTTTATAATCTTACCTTTATGCATGTACCATCAAATGCCAATATACTTCAGCTTTGTTTCCTCCTAACTAGTTAAATATTTGGTAGAGAACTTGGTTCTCAAAAAGTACTCGACTACATCACTGGTATTTAGGCCCCCTAGATATATAATTTATCAAAATTTTAGAATTATATCATTCTTTAAAACAATGCCACTAATTTGTTTTGACCTTTTATTCTGTCACTGATTTTTCCCCAAAATGAAAACTTTCAAACAACTTTCAATTCAAGATGGCTGGCACATGCTAAAAGGCGAAAAATGGATACCGTTCCTGTGATGTGCTATTGGCAAAGCATGCAGGACGAGATTGTTCTTAGCGTCAAAAAAGATACGACGAAAACGATTGGCGAGTTCGGCTGTGTACTGCATGTAGCCCTGCTGATGCTGTGTGTTTGTATGCATCTATTATACGATCATCCGATAATAAATAGGACTGAAACAACTTTTTTCATTATTTCAAGTGATAGCAAATATTTTTCGGACAAAGGCTCAACTCCTGCACCGTCCTGTGATAGGGTTGCAAAGTCATTAACTGTCTTCTCAATTCTAAATGAGTCAGCACCGCCTTGCATTTATCTGTCTCGTGCTTTTCCGTGAAGGCAGGTCAATTTGTACGTACGTCGGCTCGTCTCCCACCAAATAAACAACGCTTAGGCCTTCGTGTATCACGTCGCCGTCGAATTAGTGCTGCACGACCAAAGATTGAACTTAATCTAAGGCACTGGCCCTGTGCTAGTGCTGTTTGATACCTGTTTGGTTAATGTAAGTGTTGCTGTGACAGCAAGTAAGCAAATGCATGCCAGTATTTCGCACGGCAATACAGGTTTACTGAAAATACGAGTAAAATCATGGTTATATCTTTAACAATAATTTAACAAATATTTAACAAATCAAAACCGAGAACCAGCTTCATTGTCTGATGATAAGCCTCCCCGCAGTAATTGGACCCTTGCCAACAGTTAAGCCCAATAAGCAGGTTGAAAGCACTTTTTCAGCAGTTCCTACAATCTTTTCAATAGTTCATGCACATATCATTAATGCTTGTCAAAATCCTTACTAGTGCTTCTTCGACCAATCAAGTGTTTGTGATTAAATCGTCTCTCTTCGCTGATAACCAAGGAGTGTGAAATCACATTCTTTGTCTGCCTTTAGTGACTGTTGATAACTTTTAAATGTTTCCCTGACAACATAAGTACAACAGAGTTGAAATCCGCGAATGTGCGGAGGTACGACTCGAAATACAGGAGAAAACAAAGTATGCACAGAAACAGTGCAAGCGAACCCCCTGGCTACAATAAGTCTGCCGAGAGATTTACAAAATGTAATTCGAGAAAAAGTGACCAAAATAAGCAAGTACTAATTAGTGGAGATAAAACTGAATGCGCAAATTGCTTTACGAAATGAAGCCAGTATTTTACCTAAATAAAAGCCTGAAACAATATTAATAAGCAGTGGTGTATCCAGCGGGGGAAGCAGGAGTTAACTTCCCCCCCGACGGATTTTTGTTTTAATTATACTTCTTAGGTGAGTAGGAAAGTAATCGGTATATTTATTTATCACTTATTTGCACCAAAACCCGTTAAAAAAAACAACCCTGCGAAATAAAAGCAAGGATGTCGAGACCGTAAGTAAGGCTTTTGGTATGTTTTCTCTTCAAATATCATGTTGAATGAGCCCGAAGCCGCATTCACTTTTGAATTTTTCCCCACCCGCACACCAAAAGCTGGATGCATCGCTGTTGATAAATCGTTACACAGAGTTCCATGAACAAATTGAAAAGGGTTTACAGTGGAACACGGTCGTTAACCAGAGAAGCATACGGTACATGCCGGACACAATCGTTTTTTATAAAATAAATGTTATTCTAAAAGTGGATCTTCGTTAAGCATCATTAAATGTCACAGTACATTGTACATCTACTGTGGCACTGTTATTCGCACGTCGAGCTTCCAAATTCTGAAATCATAAATGACAGAAGCAATGACAGGTTTTTATACGGCCCTGGAAAATATAGTTTCTTGGCATCTCAAAAAAGATGTATAAAACCATAAATTGATTGGTTTTTTGACGCAAAAAAAACCTGATTCTGGTATTTTTTTTAATGAGAAAGTGTCTTGATATGACGAAGATTCATTAGAGACAAATTTCCGGTTTGCGTGTGGTACACACTGGCCTGACCCACCCCCCCCTACGCATGGTGTACGCAACGGTATCAACCCCTCCCCCTCTAGCACGCAGTTTCTCCACCTACAACATGTTCCTAGTTGAATTCATCCACGGCAATACTGCCCAATAGAAGTTGCTGGATTTAATCATCAAAATGAACGACGGATTCCAGAGCGAGCGCCTTGGGACAGCTTCCTTTTCATTTTCAAAGGAATGATGTAAACCACGGCCCACTAAGTAAAAACTTCATGAACTGAAACGCAGCGTCAAGATTCAAGAAGTGGCCGAAAAGTTTTATTTTCGACTGACTGTGTATGCGTTTTCAGCATCGCTTTGCGGCGTGCTTTCAATATCTGAATTCAATACAGAAAGAACACCATTGCATCCTTAAATACAGCCAGTTCTTTGCGCTCGTAAAATCAAGATTTCAGTTCCTGATTTTGATGACAAAGGTTACCGCACTTTCAAACACACCAAAAATGCATTGACTCTTCACATTTTAGTGATTTTCACTCTTGATGGTGCAACTACTCAGCTGAGCGAGAAATGTCTAATTGTCCGTGACTATGTGGTAACTTTATACTGTAAATCAGGCAAGAAGTCTTCCTGAGACTTTCGACAAACCATGCCGATCATGCTTGTTGGATCTTCCACAGCCAACCCTGGCCCAGTATAATCAAGCTTACACATTGTCTGGACTTGTCATTTTTGTCCACGCACATGCACCCAAACGGGCATAATGTATAAATCCTGCTACGAGAACACATACTTTAGTAAACTTGAGAACTGTTACTATGGCGATAACAGCTGTGCAAACGGTCGGTGCTACGGGATACAGTTGCTATTAGAAACATAAAGGCATCTCTCTTTCAAGTACCATCTGCCTTGTTCTGTCCTTAAGCTTCTCGTTTAGAAAACTGTGTTATGTAGTTCAATTTATAATTTGATTCATCTCTAAAATGCATTTCATTTCATTTCTTGAAGTTGGTAAAAAAAAAATCAGCTTCGAGTGTAATGCCTATAAGGCAAGTGTCGTATCTCCATTGTGCACCCTTGCGAAAATACGACTTTCAGGGTCGTCTTCGAAAACTTGGGATGGGTCTGCCTCTTTGCAACAAATAAAGGAGGATTGGTTGGTCATCATGGAACTAGACTTGTCCGCCTGGTGGATTTCACGAGTGTGGGAGTTTCAAATAAACATTTACATTGTCGTTTTCAGGGTGTCGAGCAGTGCGCCGCCTATTTGTGCGCTTGGGCAGAAAACATTCTAAAGTCGTGACTTACACATTAATGTAGCCCAGTGAGTTCTTTCTCAAAAGGTCGAAGGAAATCAGCAGGGCTCCGTTCACTATGAGCATGGACTCTAACAGTGTGACTATAATGGTAAACATTTTAACTGTGGAGTACAGCACGAAGTCAATTTCTTTCGTTGTTGTGGTCACGCACGGACGCCATGGTAAATTGCACACTCGGGCTTGACTAAACAGCTTTGTGGTAGATTTTGTGACTGTTCGAGCCAGAAATATCAGATGCGAAGTGGCTCTCGCAAAAAAAAGCAGTGTGGTGATTAAGATCCAACACTTTGCACGTTCCGTACAGTCACGATCTTTCAGATGGTGTATACAATTAACAAAGATCTGGGCTGCTCTTCGCAGTTGCACACAATACTGCGCGAAACGTGACACCCCTAAACTGCATCTGATAGAAACCGATCTGGACTACATTGGTACGCGCTGCATTTCAGGATGCAATCTTCTGAAGCAAGAGGGACGATTACAGATACATAATGACGCGGGCGAATCGGTTGGGTGGTAGGCAAGTTTTTAGGTGCAATTTTTCCAGGTTGTTGTTGCTGGAGATGAAATTTAAGAGTTTGAGCATGGCTCTGTGTGTGGTGCTGATGTTACTTGTGGCGGCCGCGAAGATAGCGTTTACAGGCACCATCCCAAACGCAGCGCACGCCAGCGTGACCAGGCCAGGGGATGTTATCCTTGGGGCTAGCTTTCCGATTCACCGCTGGTCCTCCGGAGCACCGTGCAGTGCAGGACTGTACAGCTGGGGGATGGAATTGAGCGCCATTGTGATGTTTGCCATCGAGCAGATCAATGACCGGGAGGATCTCTTGCCAAATGTCACGATCGGTTACGACATTCGCGACAACTGTTACTCAGAGACTCTGTCGCTGTGGACCGCATTCAGTCTGGCTAGCACGTCGGAGAGACCCCAGGAGGACGTCCAGTTCCCAAAGATCAGCCCACCAGACAACGGCAGTCTGCTGTGCATCATAGGGACGCAAACGAGCGCAACCACCATTCCCACAGCTCAAGCTGCTAGCTTGTATCGGGTCCCTGTCATCTCCCCGTTCGCGACGAGCAACGAGCTGAGCGACAAGCGCCGGTTTCCGTATTTCCTTCGCACTGTTCCCCCGGACAGCCTCCAGGCCTCAGCCATCGCCGACATACTTTTGCAATTCCAATGGAAATACATTGGCCTGTATTTTCAGCTGAACACCTACGGAATTCACGGAGCCCAAAGCTTGCTGGACCTCGCCGAAAAGTATGGCATATGCGTGGCGTTTTCCATTGCAGTACGCTACCAAGCAAAAGCCACTGAGCTCCTCGACGCTGTCGGTAGGCTTTCGAGCTTCCCCAAAGCGAAAGTCGTTGTTATGTTTATGGATAGCCAAACAGCAAGTGAAGTCTTGACGACAATGTCCGACGGTGGACTCCTGTCTCAGTTGACCTTTGTAGGTAGTGACGCCTGGGCATTGCCTAATTCACTTAAGAGACACGGTGTTGAGGTTTCCCTTTTACAAGGTAGCCTCTTTGTCCAACTACGTTATACGCGCATTGCTGGATTCGATTACGACCGGTTTATACAAATTGTAGAATCTAGCACCCCATGGTTAGTTGAGTGGAAGGCGGAACACAATTGCTCCAACCTAAACGAGTGCCCAATCCGCATTGATACAAATGACAATTTCGTGGTTGATGCTGTCTACGCCTTCTCGTATGCTCTCCATAACATGTTTTACGATCGCTGTAACAATAGTACCAACTGTAATTTGCCAATTAAAAAATTTATTGGACAAGATTTGCTGCAGTACTTACGTAATGTACGATTCAAAGGGCTGGCCGGGAACTACAGTTTTGACAGCAATGGCGATCCAAGCGGGAATTACAAAATACTGAACTTTCAGATTGTTGACGGCACGGTCAGAGCCGTTGAAGTCGGGCGATGGAGCGCCTCAGCCGCAGATCCACTTGAACTGAATGTGAGCGCTGTGAGGTGGCCTGAGACAAGAGGCAAACCGGTCTCAATTTGTCGGGAGGACTGTCAAAGTGGTTTCATAGCGGTGCCTCTGGAGGAAAAATGCTGCTTTGGTTGTCAACGATGTCCAGATGAAGCCATTGTCATTGACAACAAGTGCAGGCCATGTCCCATGGACGAGTGGCCAGACGAGAATTTCAAAGTTTGTCAACCCATTGTACCGACCCCACCCAGCTGGAGCGAGCCCACGGTTGTTGCCATCCTGATCCTGTCCGCCTTTGGACTAATCCTGTCCCTTCTGGCAGCGTTCGGAATCTACTACTACCAAGGACACGTGTTGATCAAAGCTGCCAGTCGTGAACTGAGCAGCATCAACATCTTGGGGCTCACGCTGGCCTTCCTTGCTCCCTTTCCACTGCTCGCTCAAGTGACTGACGCGTCATGCCGTGTGTCTGAGATCATCACCACCTTGTGCTTCACTCTGACGTATGCCCCAGCTCTGCTGAAGGTCAACCGCATCTATAGGATCTTCGACGCTGGGAAGAAGTCCAACAAGCGTCCTCGCTTTATCGGTCCACGACCCCAGCTATTGTTGGCGATTTCTGTGTCTCTTTTTATGGTAAGTATGACTTTTCCACAAATTTGGCGAGAACCAGACCAAGCAAATTAAGAAGAGATTAACGAACAAGGCAGGTATTAAAATTAGAAAACATTCCATATATAATTAACCCCTAGTTTGCAAATTTTAATTTTAAAATCGAAATTGTTGTTAAAAAAACTTACAGTTGCGTTTTTGCGTAATACGTGTATTCATTTATACGTCAATAAGCATTAGCGAATCATTTTGCTGGAGACAAGCCATCCATTTCTTAAAAACATAACGAACATAACAGTGCAAAAAGCCCGGCCCAAAACTTCAGTTTGTGAAAATTTAATGTCAAAATAAATCGACGAAATAAAAGCTGACATTATGAGCATGGAGCTGGAGTTGGTGAAATTTTCTTTGCAACGGAGGCTCCATGGTCGGGTCTGAACTGCACTGGTTCACGAACGACTATGAAGTGCATGCGTTACGGTCGCCTCGCTACCTACAAGATGAACACTCTCGACCATCATTGCTCTTTTCAACCAATGAGGGGGTGTTTCTGCTCTAGGTGGATTATAAAACTTACTCAGCTCGTGACAAAAGTGCAACTTGAGTTTTTTGTTATAAATGAAATGACATCCCAACGTTTAAACTGTGAATTCAATTAAGTCTTATTCATCAATTTTTCCAGGTCGTGATTTGCACTGCCGGGACATTAATTAGTCCAACA